TAAATAATAATAATATCAGATAATGGTTCATTTAATAAGAAAATAATGATGAAAGTAAATATTAGTCAATAATTAATAAAACTGTCTGATAATGCTTCATTTAATAAGAAAATAATGATGAAAGTAAATATTAGTCAATAATTTAAAAATAATAATGGTTATTTAACAAGAAAATAATATAATAAAGAATAACGTTAATATTTCTGACAATTTTATTTATTAAGAATAATGTTAAAACTTTTATTTAGCGGGAATGCTCATGAAGATCGTTGAATAAAGTTTAAAGATTGGATTGTTTTTTTATGCCCGTAAACTTCTTGTTTAGGTTTGAATCCTACTGAGCACATGACCTTTATTTACAGTACTTCACTCCCAACCTACTCTCACTATTTTAACTTAAAGACATGAGTTGTAACTCCAACAGTGGAAAATAGATAATATCCAATGATTAATAATAACTGTGGACAATACTTTATTAAATAAAAATTGATAATTCCAATAAAACCTCTCATCCCATTCAAAAAAGCTTTATTTGTATTTTTTCTTAATTAATTCATAGCAATAATCGCATATTTCAGTCAGTTATGTGCCAAGCGTGAAACACACTTAGGCAATCATGTATCTTTTGATACATGACTGACGAGACAGATTTTTCCCGCAGTAGGTTGCCATTTCTTTCTGTGATAGACCAGTTGCCATCCAAGGTTATAGAAACCGCCCTGTTCTGCTATTGATCCATAGCTGGGGAGTGGGGAGAAGAAGATTCATACCTTTACAAAGGTAAGTGAATGTAATGGATTCGACTGGAATTCGAACTCTGCTCTCCGCTTCCTTAATCCGGGAATTTGTAAATGCTAAACACTTCAGATAACTATGAGCTGATTAGCAAAACTTTTATCAATAAAATTGATAATTATCACTAAAATTTCTTACGATATAAAAATAATTAATAATAATAATATCTGATAATGCTTCATTTAATAAGAAAATAATGATGAAAGTAAATTCTAGTCAATAAAAAAAGCCGTAAAAAAAGACAAATCAATTAATCGATTAAAAATCTTGGATAGAAATTCTCCTAATCCAGTGTGCAAGATTATCACTGTCAGTTAATCCGTAAGATCTTTTCATGTAAGAAGAAACCTTTTTAATTTTGTTTTTTACGTTTTTAATTGCATACCATTACATTTCTTGTCATATTTGTTTCTTTCTCTGTTCGTCCATTCAGACGAAAACGTATGTCGTTGTTGAGGAAGTACATCACGTGTTGTCAAAAATTAATTGAAAGGTTACGCAGTGACCTCTTGCTTTCTATTTGGGATATTTACGTTCAGTATGTTTTTAAATTTTTATGTTGTACTTTTAAAATATAAAGTTTTTGTTTATTTTCTTAATTTACGTCATAGTGTCTGCGTCTTTGTATTGATTATATTCCCACAAATAATTCTGATTCTGTTTGCTTTTACATCGTTATTGTTATTCTTTCAATTAATTGGTTTTAATATTCGTCTTCCTTGATTTGAAACTTCCGATTTTTCTCTGCATTCTGCGTTCTGTAATCTCTAAATTTTCATTTCTCGTCTTGGGTTGAAACCAGTTCATTCTCTAATGCAGTTTTTGTATTCGGTGAATTTTGTTTTTACAATTTTTTTTTATCATGGCGTCCGCGTTATTTCAAAACATACTATTTATTTTGCGCAATTTCACCTCTGTTTATAATTTTATTTTCTGTTTAATATTTATTGTATTTTTTTCGGTTGTATTTCAAATTCCTCCGCTACTAATGAAAAAAAAAAAACGACTGAAAATTTTACTCGTGTTAAACTACAGGTTTAATTTCATTGACAGGTTTCAGTCTATTAGAGCTATTTTCCCTTGAGCCGTTTATTTTATTTGAAAATGTATTTTTTCAGTGTTTTATTTTTAATATTAACATCTATATTTCTTCTATTCTTTGAAAATTTTTTTTTTTTAAGTTAGAAGTGAACCCTGTGAGGTACGTGCGACGTGTTTGTCTTTGGGGTTGTCTTAACTGTTCACCAGGCTAAGTAAGTTTTTCTCGATTAGAGCCATTCTATTAACACAACAAATCAAAACGTTATGTGGCTTTATCGCCTTGCTTGGGGTGAAATGATTAAAAAAGACGAATTGATGTGCATAAACGTATTGATTTGATGCGTTAAAAGATTGGCTCTAATCGAAAAAAAAATTGTTTACATAAATAACAAATATTACCAGCGAAGGAAAATTATTACCAGAGATAGATTTTTAAAGGAAAAAATACTAAAAGAAAGATTTTTTGAAGGAAAAATGTTACTAGAAATAGATTTTTTGAAAAAAACAAAAAAAAATAAAACATTACCAACAATGAAAATTTTGCCGGCATTAAATAACCCATTGAGGTTGATATACCGTAAAACAAACCAAACCAAACCAAACCAAACCAAACCAAGCAAAACAATAAAACCACTCGGACCCAAGAGGTTGCTGAGTGCAAAAGAATATGAGAAAAAACTACTATTAAGAAGAATAAGATTTAATGAGGCAGAAGATAAAGATTATCATTGCATTTAAATTTTTGAAAGTTGATTGAGAAGCAAGCAGTCAGAAGAGAGTTCCACAAGCTAGAAGTACAATAGAAGAAACTGTTAGCATAGAACTTACGGTTACATCTAGCCAATTCAAATGTAAACTGGTGAGACATCGCGCCAATTTAGTACTGCGCCTAGATATCATAGCGGAAGGTTCATCTGAAAAATTATCATGAAAGTTTTTTTATAGAAAAGATCACAGGGAAGCTACGTTGCGGTGGTGGGAAAGGGACTGAAAACAAGATGCCAGGTCAGGACCAATAACATTGCAAATTCTTCGTCGGATTTTATCAAGAATCTCTAAGGGTTTAGTGGCTCCAGCCCAGATATCGTAACAACGCTCTAGTTGTGGTCTAATTTCTGTGACCACGGCAGAAAAATTAAGGTGCTTCGTGGAGCGGGAAAATAGCCGACCATATTTCAATTTCTCTAGCTATGTCAGAGTTCTGCATGATGTCTAGAGTGGAATTTAAATCTTTTGTGTTGGTGAGACGGAGAAGTACTAGGAAGAGGAAAAAAGTGAAACAATTATATCATGACCCCAAAAAGAAGAGGTATTCTGGAAAATTTCATGGGAAAATTAGCGGTTGGCAAATATCCTTGCTCCGGCAATTAATTGGAGATTCGTCTCCAGCTAAGCTAGTCGAACTCTCTGCCTTCGGGCGGAGAGGAACCCAGACAAGGCTACACTGAAGGGCAGAGCCTCGTCTGGGGTGGTAGACAGCTACCTGACCCAGTTTTTATAGGGTCTACGGGGAATTTTTGCCCAAGCCTACGGACTCGGTTTTAATTCCGCATTAAAAACAGCCTTGTGCCACATCCTGCCTTCCTGGGAGGTGAGGCAAATAACCATTCTTTTTAGTTGGGTCTCCAACTGTGCTGGTCGAACTCTCTTTTGCCCAAGCCTACGGACTCAGAGTTTTAATTCCTGACCCAGTTTTTTAAAAACAAGCCTTGTTTTAACTCCGCATTAAACCGGCCTTGTGTCACATCCTGCCTCGCTGGGAGGGGAAGCAAATAACCATTCTTCGGCAATTAGTTGGAAATTTGTCTCCAACTGTGCTGGTCGAACTCTCTGCCTTCGGGCGGAGAGGAACCCAGACAAGGCTATGCTGAAGGGAAGTGCCTCGTCTGGGGTGGTAGACAGCTACCCGACCCAGTGTATACGTGGTCTACTGGGAATTTTTGCCGGAGCCTACGGGCTCGGTTTTACCCCGCATTAAAAAACGGCTTTGTGCCACATCCTGTCTCGCGGGGAGGTAAGGTAAATAACTTTGCTTCGGCAATTAATTATGCTGGTCGAACTCTCTGCCGTCGGGCACAGAGGAATCCAGACGAAGCTATGCCGAAAGGTAGGGTAAATATCCTTGCTTCGGGAATTAGACTAGCGTTGGAAATTCACCTCTAGCTATGCTGGTCAAACTCTCTACAGAGAGGGACCCCACATTAAAATCGGCCTTGTGCCACATCTGACCGCTTGGGACGGTTGGTAGATATCTTTGCTTCGGGAATTACTTGCTTGCTAACCGATTTCCTGTCTTTCAGTAGTGTATTCTCTTTTACAATAAACCTCTCTTTATTTCATCTACGCGCATGATTCTGTTCCTTCACTCGAGTACCACATTTGTCTGTTTGTAACCCCTTTAAGGATACAGCAAGATCCAATAGACTTTCAAAGAAAATAGCAAATTTATTTCAAAACCATTTAATAGCATAATACACGGTTATAAATTTTGATATTAAAGGGATATACATGCTCTCGCCATTTGAAGAATTGACAAACTAACATCTTCCTACATTGGGTTATTTTTCTCATTTTGTTTAAAGAAGAAAAGTCTACATGTATGAGCGAAAAGTGTTATTAGAATATTGATCTTTAATAAAGCATTATTTAAAAAAAAATATTTAAAAAACTAACAGGAAAGACGTCATTAAAAGCTCAACAAACTCCCTATAGTGGAAATGTGTTCCTTGCAGATGGAAATATCAAACTGTATATTGCTTTGTCAGCGGTATGTCATTATCTGAAGGCGAGAAATGCATGAGTGTGAAGTCTCGCTACAAATCTCATTATTTATTTATCCACAGTTTCATATATGCGAACGCGTCAAACTTTTTAGAAAGACCGGTAACAGAAGCTTCAAACTGGATTGACATTCGAATTACCTTCGACAGTTCGCCTACTTGATAAACGTTGTACACATCTTGTAATTTTCATGTCATTCCTATTTACAAATTAAATCAATTACATAAATACATTTGCTGCTGTAAATGATGCGCTGTTTCGATATTCGTTGTTTTCACTGATTCAGTGCGCGTTGGTGAATACTTGATAATTTCCAGATAAGCTCACTTCTTATCTGGAAGAAAACATTCAAAAAATTTCATAACCCAGTGAACATGATGCAGAGAAGCTCCTAAAACATACACTTATTATTCATTCTCTTCTCATCTATCTATCTATCTATCTATCTATCTATCTATCTATCTATCTATCCGTGTTCATATCTGCCTCATTGTATTCATATCTATCTCTCTAAGTGTGTTCATATCTATCTATCTATCTATCTATCTATCTATCTATCTATCTATCTATCTATCTCAGTGTATTCAAATCTACCTCTCTATCTATCTATCTATCTATCTATCTATCTATCTATCTATCTATCTATCTATCTCATTGTATTCAAATCTATCTATCTATCTCATTGTATTCAAATCTATCTATCTATCTATCTATCTATCTATCTATCTATCTATCTATCTATCTGTGTTCATGTCTATATCATTGTATTCATATCTATCTATCTATCTATCTATCTATCTATCTCATCTATTCATATCTATTTATCTATTTAAGTGTGTTCATATCTATCTATATCTATCTATCTATCTATCTATCTATATGTGTGTGTATATACATACATACATACATACATATATATATATATATATATATATATATATATATATATACAAGCAATCCAGCCGTCCCTGCCCATTCAAACTTTCATACGTCTTATCACGCCTCCGAATTGTTATTACACATAGGTCTGCTTTAAATTTACATTTCCTATTTTTACGTGATAAAAAAATGGTAGGCATCCAGTTTACACCAGAATAACTAAAAAAAAAAAGATAGACATAGTCTAGTATAGACCAACAGGAGTTACCGCTCTTTAGGATGATTGTCTCCCTTGAAATAAGAACTCTCCCTCAGTTAAATGCTATAAATCAACGGTTCAGCTGTGCCTTCCCATTCAAGCTTTCTTATCGCGCCTCCAAATTGTTATTACAAATAGGCCCGATTTAAATGAATGTGTGCAAGTATACACCCCAGGTACGTAGATTATTGGGACGAGGGGTGTTGTTTCCCCTCGGCTATCATACGACTTTCTTCGTTCGTTCATTAAAATGACTGGCGATGGTCGAACATACTTGAAACATAATACGTCGATTCGTCAAGTTTTTTTTACAAGTCTGCGCCTAGCATGACAAGACACCCGACGAAGCTTTCCAAAATTCATACTCTGTCCCTTGTATTTAATACATGATTAAGCAAAGTATTAAGCTCATATAAATACCTTCACCCCTGCCGTGCGTCAATGATGAGCTGCGAAACAGTCTGTCTGTTGATGAATATATATATATATATATATATATATATATATATATATATATATATATACAGGTGACCCCAAAAGACGGGAATTTTTGAAGTGCCTATTGCAAGACATGAGCAAGTGGCAACACTGCGAGACAGTGACCTTGTGCAAGTAAACTCTTTGCCCTTTAGAATTCAAGGTGAAATTCATAGTATCCCAGCTGAGATGTTGCAGCAGTCAATGAGAAATCTCAACAGCAGATTTCAAGAATGCATTCGTACAGGAGGACGCCATCTAAAGGATGTAATTTTAAAAAAATGAAAATTACATCATTGTTTCTTAAATGGCATGTTTTAAGGTTTCAATTACTATGAATAAAATATTTTTCTTCCATCACTCTTGGTTTTATTGGATTGTTAAAAAGTTCCCATTTTTTTGGGTCACCCTGTATATATATATATATATATATATATATATATATATATATATATAATGAAATAGATTATGTCCGACAATTATTTAACTTATTTTATGTTTATACGTTATTTTTATAGATACAATTCATTTAAGTAAATGTTTTGTTTTTTAATTAAGCAGTATTAATTACATTTACCGCCCTGAATGTTCGAGAAATTTTGTTGACTAAATATCACTAAACGCTTAAGCCAGGTGTACGCGTTGTGGTGTCAGGGGCAACGAGCTCGGAATAAGAAAACGAGACCAGAGTTCGAATTCCAGTCACTTACGCGCAAATACTCTTGAGCAAGATATGAATCCATCTCCTCCTACCTATAGGTTAAATAGTCGAACTTGTCCTGGAGAAATCAATGTTACTGAAAAAGAAACTTTAATGCAATCTTCACTCGCCAAAAAAAAATAAGAATTATTTTTTTCAATTCAAAATGTTTCTGCTTTAAATAACACACAAAGGGTTGATAAACTGTGAAAAACAAATCAACCGTTTCGATTTTTTTAAGACTTTCTAGTTGCTTGCTCGTTCTGTCCATAGCATTCTCAACATCCTTCTGTTGAATCTGTATCTCAGCATCTCAGCTCTTCTCTTTATCTTCCACTCGTAGTTGGCCTACCATACATTCTTCTCGTTCAATAGTTTTTCTCCAATCAATAATACTGACGAACATCGAAGAAAAATCGATGAAAAAAATTGTTCACATTTGTCGTAAGGATGCTGTTGCCGCATTATACGAGTGTCCGGTGAGTGAGGGGTCAGAGGTTATGATAAGTGAAAGTTCACGGGTGAATTCCTGGACGTTGAGAAGGTTGATAGAGAGAGAAAGAATGAAAGGGAAAGAGATCTGTTGATAGTATAAATGGAGTCAGTTGTTAATTGTCGTGTGCTGATATTAAAACTAGCGGCCATGATGTTTGAAATGAAATCGAAACCCTTTGTTTCGTTTGAACGAAAATCGGAAAAAGTTTTCCCTCATAAGAATGGGTAATCGTGGAACTACCACCGGTTAACAGGCATTCTTCCGTAATTTGCTAAGAGATGAGGGGTTATCGTCTTCTTGTTAATGAGATAAAAGGTAATCTTTTTTATATTTCAGAGATGTGGATGGAAGTCAAATTACGGAAGTGTCGCAAAATATAAATCTGTTTACGTACAAGAAAAACCCAATAACAACAATCTGGTGTATAAGGAAGACATGTAGAGAGAGAGGGCGGGCTGCTTAATTGGAAGACATGGCTATGTTTCAGGAAGTTAATTTAGATGGGCATACATTTTTAAAATGCGTTTCATTGATGGTACATAGGTTCATTTGAGTTTCTGTCTGTCTGTCTATCTCTCCCCCCCTCTCTCTCTCTCACACACACACACACGTATTTATCTATTTATCACTTAAAACGTTATTTTTAGTGAATAATCGTATTTGGGTATGTTATACTATAATACCTATTCTATTGTAATAGACTCTCCCACAGATAATAAGTAGTAGTAGCAGTGGCCAGTTGGGGCTCAGTGGTGTTGAGTGAGTCTGTCGGACATTGAAGTATCAACCTTCAACTAGATTGCTGCGTCATTAACTCTTATTTCAAGTTCCTAACGTTTTTGTACGTCGAACCTAATTTAGAACGACTTAGTGAAAGACAAACCTCCACTGTGAAAACTACTCTACAATAGGGTAGATGCTCCGTTTTTTTTAAACAGTATTCATTTCCACTATTTACATTGTCCAGACTGTTGTCCTCATCTTTATTGTCATGTTCACGACGTTTCGGTCATTATACGCTGCGGCCTTCTTCAGGTGATATACGTTGGAATTTCGAATCTAACATTTTATTTAGTCCAGTGGGCCAGATTGTTCTAGTTCTACACTCCATGCCTTTTCTGGATATCTAGAAAAGGCATATCATGTGAAATCTATTGACTGTTTTTTTTCTCTGGGTCGTATGGTTGAACAGAAGAGCCATAAATTGGGATTTCCAGGAAGCACCTGAGTATTTATAATTTTATTCTCTTCGTCAAGCAGTCTTGTCAGCATGAGGAGCTTTTACGAAGGAAGTGGCTGATTTTTGTGCCCACCATCATTTGTTGGAGCTGGCCGTAATCTCTAGGCGTATTCTATCATTTGATTGAAGTAGATCGTAGGGACACCGTTAGACATGACTATTAGGAGCTGACAATTTATATTTCACGAGATGTCACTCTGCGAAAGATGTTGCTTGTCGATACTCAGCACCTCTGAAGACATCATGCGGCAGATAATATTAACGGTAAAGTAGTTTTAGCTTCAACAGCTCAGGATTCGAGTAAATCTTCGAGGTTAGGTGGTATTCCTTTTTCTGACATTTCGTTCGCGGAATTACCGGACGCAAGAGGTGACGATAAGTCAGTGTCTATCACCTCGCCAAGCATCACACGCCAGCTGATAATTGGCAGGAGAGAGACGGTGGTTAGATCCGACGTGATTTAAACCGACTCGACCACCGGGTGAGTCGTCGTTCAAGCAAAGTTGAATAGTGCATTATAAAGGTTCGAATCCTGTCGTAGTGCGCGTAATTTTTCGTGAATAAGATTTATTGAGTATTCAGGCCCGTAGGCGATTATGAATATACTGTTTAATAAGTAAACTACGTAAATATGGACATCTGCTAAAAATAACGTTTAAGTATTAAAAATTAAGAAATAAAAATTCACCACGTCTTTAGAAACACAAACACACATATATATATGTATTTTAAGACATTTTTTTATGTTTATACATTCTTTTTATAGATACAAATATTTATTTTTTATAGATACAAATATTTAATTTTATTTATTTTTGCTCTCTTTATAATAAACATTATTAAACAACATTTACCGGCCTGAATGTCCGAAAAAATTTCACAGAGAATATTCGTCCTCCGACAGGATTCGAACCTGTATCCTATCACGGAACCGTCATTTAGCTAGACGTGCCTTTACCGATTTGGCCACAGAGAAGCGTTCGGTTACCGAGCTCGAATTTACTGTATTTGAACTTCAATCTTCCATGAATCTCTTACGTACATTCATATCTTCTCATGGCGTATCAAATGTAAACAAATGACGTCACACATTATGAAATGGACAAAGTCTGACAATTATTTTAAGACATTTTTTATGTTTATACATTCTTTTTTATAGATACAAATATTTAAATAAATGCTCTGTTTTATAATAAACAGTATTAAACAACATTTACCGGTTTGAATGTCCGAGAAATTTAGGTCGGTAAATGTTGTTTAATACTGTTTATTATAAACAGAGCATTTACTTAAATATTTGTATCTAGAAAAAGAATGTATAAACATAAAAAAAGTCTTAAAATAATTGTCGGACTTTGTCTATTTCATAATATATATGTATGTATATAATTGTGTATTAAAATAGAATTCCTTCTTTTATTTAAGTTTCGAAGTTTAAAACGAAGAACAAGGATAATTTATTTTATTTTTCTTGTGTTCTTAATTTTCTTTTTTACTGGAGATAATTTTTGTCGAAACTCTCTGAATGTTCTGTATGTCTGAATGCTTTCGGCCATACTTCTCCCCATTATCAAGAATGCTTTTATTTTTTACTTTTATTGAATGTAAGGAGAGACGTCTGTGGATACGCTGTAAATTCACTATTCTGGAAATTTGTGATCATTGAACATGAAAATATCCAACAGTTATTCGGCATATCTTCATCATTTTCCCTAAGCGGCAAGTACACGAGTGTAAAGTCTCGCTATAAATCTTATTATTAATTTATTCCCAGTTTCATATCTTGAACCCTATTGAAAGTAGAGCCTTCATCGTGACTGATTAATACTCAGCATATAATCGCTGATGGTTTAGTGCAATAAGTGAGATAATATGTCTTCACTGGAATTTGAACTTATTTCGCTGAATTACAACAACACTTGCTGGTGTTAAACACATATTAAGCATCAGGAAGAAACAGTTGAAATTTCTGAGGATAGAGAGCTTGGAAAAATTGATACCCACAAGGCAGATGGTAGGCTAGACGGACAGAGGAAAGCAAAACATAACCTACTTAGTGAGCTTGGGTAAATGGATGGCGGAGCTAGGTTTAGGAGAGATATCAAAAAGACAACATTTATTAAGATCTACAAAGAGCAGAAGATTGTGGAGATCTATCATGGCCAACGCCCTGAAGGAGATTATGCACATAGAAGAAGAGAAAGAATGGGAGAAACTGCAAGGATAGTTGTGTTGC